ATTATTTAACTTTAACTAATTCACAAAATTGAATGACACAATAGAACAAAATGGTTGTCCAATGCTTCCAAGTTTTCTATGGTAGTTTAATTAGATATTTCATGAATACTTATCATTATGATTGAGACATAGATCATTTAATGTATTCAAATCATTAATGTTCACATCATTGAAAACTAATAAACTATGTATTATAATTAATATGATTGTACTTTAATGTATAATGATGAATTGGTATGTATGTTACATGTTTTTTACATGATTAATTGGATTTATGAATTACATCTTTTCTAAATGATGTACCTTTTTTTTCTTATTTTTTTAAATGTTACATTCTCTTTGGTTAGACATTAACACCGTTGGATGCCGGCCGGCTCAGTGGTCTAGTTGGTTAAGCGCCTGGCGCGAGACTGATAGGTCTTGGGTTCGAATCTCGCGAGGAGCGGGATCGTGGATGCGTACTGCTGAGGAGTCCCATACTAGGACGAAACGGCCGTCCAGTGCTTCCAGGTTTTCCATGATGGTCTAGCTTCAATGGATTCATGATTTCAACCAGTGAAATTTCTAAAATCTCCACACAATCCCTTCTGGTAATATTATTGTTGTCAATTGGTATGTAACTATTTGTATAATTATTGTTCTCTGACTGTTGTTTCTATCTTGATCTAGTGGTCAGGCTTATCTATTGTGATAAACTGATCAAGTTATACTGATTGGAATAATCGTTCCTTGAAGTCCTACCATACCAGATAGGTTGATTGAAGAACGATATGACTAAAAGCAGTAAACTTAATGTCTGAAGGTGAAGTTGTACTGTTGATTGTACAGAGGTATGACGACAGTAAGCTGTTTCATTCAAACAACCATCATAATAGCGATGCTATCTTCCCATAAGGAGAGGTGGCATTAGAAAAAGTCGACCCTAAAAAATGCACACTTCGCCTTACCCCACGGATATCCGTCTCCGTTGGTAAGGTTCCAGACAAGTACGGAGGTAACAGGAAAATTACTCAGAAAAAGGTTGTATTTAATCGACTTCAATCAATTGTCCCTTGGGCACTGTGGTCACACTCTCAGGTCACTAAGATCACCTTTAATCTAATTTCATTTTCTTGTACCTCTAGAAAAACCCTTTCACAATGTGGATAACTGGGAAGTGATAACCGTCCTTATATTTTTAAAAGCGCTCAAGACCATGGTATTCTGACTGACTGGTTATTATAAATATTTTTAAATGATGATTTAACAGAATAATTGAAGACCAACTAGACTATAGACCTACTATTTTAATGAAAACATAGAAATTTCCAGACTTTTGTATTTCTAATAGTCAATAAACTGATTTGTGACTAACAAAATTCTCTTTATATATAAAGACTTATAACCATGAAACATAGAAATCTAAAACCCATGTGCTTACTAGTGACTAGCCTCATGAGGGAATTCTCCGAGTTTTAGTGAGAAGCTGTGACCAGTGGAACTAATCCATGTCAAGTAGAGACAGGTGTCTACCTCGGTACAATGGAAGACGGTCGCAAAATTTCGTGGATTGGTTGAAGTTAGACATTAAGATCGTTAGATACCGACTAGAAGTTATGTGTTCTTGCGCGAGATCGAATGTCTTGGCTTCAGATCATGCGAACAGGATCGTGGATGAGCAGTACTGAGGAGTCCCATACTAAGGGGAAACAGCTATCCAGTGCTTTCAGGTTTTCAAGTGTGTTCTAACATCAATTTATTCATGATCTCAATCGAAACTTAATAATTTCCACAGCCCAATACTGATAATTTAGAAAGGCATAATTCTTAACTAAAACGATACTTATGATCATTCCTACTATCAGAAAGAGTTTTGTGGAGATTGTAGAAATCTCAATGGTCAAGATGATGGATTAGTTGAAGTTATACATTAACACCGTTGAATGCCGGCTCAGTGGTCTAGTTGGTTAAGTGCTCGAGCGCGAAACCAGTAGGTCCTGGGTTCGAATCTCGCAGGGGGTGACATCATGAGTGCGCACTGCTGAGGAGTTCCATACTAGGACGAAACGGCCGTCCAGTGCTTCCGGGTATTCCATAGTGATCTAGCTTCAACTAACTCATGATTTTAACCATTCATATTATATTTTATTAATCTAAAATTATAATTTCAAGATTTAAGAAATCACAATTTCTATTAACTATCTAGATAAATTCATTATCAGAGTTGAATAGAACTAGAATAATTAAATTGTGGTTGTTAAATGTTTGTAGTTTGCATTAAAGTACTAATATTTACACTAAGACTTAATTATAGTATGTATCCCTTCACATCCAGAGATTCATCAATTATAGTACTTAATATCTGTTGAGGAGATCCAGAAAACTCTTCAAAAAAAAAGTCAACAAATGCTCTGAAAACCCTGAGAAGCATCTTATCCAATCAGCATTGAGTAGACATTTTATCAAGAACATCTAGAAAGTGAAAAGTCACATGTCAAGTTTGTGATTAGATGGATATCTATAATGCTATTATGTTTAGGAGTGTTTCAGAACTTTCCGGAACCTCAAAGTTATCTAAAATACTATAAAAATCCTAGATATTTTATAGATAAACGAACCATTGGAGTAAAGCGTTTCTTTCATATTTCTCACCTTTTCTCTCATGTTCAAGTTGCTGTGTAGATTTAGCCTGAGTAGGGTTACTAGAAGGAAGAGCTTAAGAAATTGAATCTAGAAAAACTTATCAATATCAACCAGATAATAATTTAAAACTTAACAGATATCTAATTAGTCACATAAACACTTTCAAATTGGTATCAACCAACACCACTGTCATAATTTTCAATACAAATGTGAAGACAGTTCTACTGTATGGGGCGGAAACTTGAAGAACTATGAAATCCATCATCCAGAAGATACAGGTGTTTATCAACAGTTGTCTACGCAAAACACTTCGCATCCGTTGGCTGGACACTATTAGCAACAACCTACTGTGGAAAAGAACAAACCAGATTTCAGCGGAGGGAGAAATCAGGAAGAAGCTCTAGAGGTGGTTAGGACAGACATTGAGGAAAACACCCAACTGCGTCACAAGACAAGCCCTCATATGGAATCCTCAAGGTCGAAGGAGGAGAGGAAGACCAAAGAAATCATTACGTCGGGAAATGGAAACAGATATGAGAAGAATGAACAAGAATTGGATGGAACAAGAAAAGAAAGCCCAGGACAGAGTGGGTTGGAGAATGCTGGTCGGCGGCCTATGCTCCATTGGGAGTAGCAGGCGTAAGTAAGTAAGTAAGTGACCAATTTCAAATTATTAAGATAATACGTTACATAAGAGACATAGTCTATTGTTTACTATGTGAAATTCCATTCTAAATTATTTTCATGCTTCAAAGTTCATCATGCCAAATGGATACAGTGCGTAAGGCTTATCTCACATCAATGCTTTTATCATTTGATTGACAGACATTGATCAATACTCTATTCCATTAAGCTGACGAATTACCAGCCTAATGCAATGATCTAATTCTATCGATCAACTTGACTCATGTCTCTTAAGATTATAGATACAACTTATTAATAACTGACAATTTCTAAGGGATTCTTAAGGATTCCATTCAACTACTTGAAATGAGCAAAAAGTCCTGAACACTATTGAATCCTCAAGATTATTATTTTAATTATGGTTTGACCGACAGAATCAAGGAATACACAAATATGACATGAATTACTACTCATGAATTAGTCAGGGTTAATATCTAAGGCTTACAAGAAATCACTTGAGTAGTCAGTCAGTCAGTTACAACGTAGGAGTAGGTACATATATGCATCGGTCCAATTTGCCACATCTTATTAGCACAGCAAGATGAACACCAGATTCATAGTAGTTAAATCATTGGTGGTAGTGTATAAAATAAAGATTGCACAAAAGGATATAGCACAGAAAGAAACAATTAGTTCGTAGAAAGAAAAATATGAAGCAATTTTGATCTTTTAGTTTAAAGCAAAACAGAGAGTTCATACACTAACTCCATTGTAATCGATTTTGAATTATGCCACTCGCAGTCTCCAACCATTGGTTACGATAATCACATGGACCCCCAATTAAGTAGTCTGCATCTATCAACATGATTCAGATCAGAACTTAGTAATTTCAAGAATTGATATCACGTTTTGATTTGTCTGCCCCTTACTTTCTCCCAACTATCTCAGTTAATAAAAATTCTCAACCTCATCAACTGATTTATCATCATTCCCTAATACCCTATGTCTAATCTCACTATTACTTACCTGGTGATCTCAGAAGATGCGATCAATATTTCTAAGACATTTGTAGTCAAATACTAGTAGCTTACAAGTATCTTCTACTCTTAATGGCCATTTGAGTAACGAACAACTCGATACTATACCCATATCTTGTATGAAACTTCAATCCTTGAAATATATCAGTTATCTGAACATTCCAGTTCAAAACAGATTACAGATTATCTTTAATGAAATATCAACAACCGCCATATATTGTGTGACGACGGACCACGGGTAAACTCGAGGAGGCTATAAAAGGCTCAGAAGGAGCCGAAGATATTCCATCCAATCACCGTTAGCAAGAATATTCTAGAATTCCTACATGTAGCTTCCCGATTGGACAAGGCTAATAACCCCCTGTATGCGGATTGGAGGACTATAATGTTGATTTTTATTCTTACTAAAACTATAAATACCTGACAATTTGTACGCATAATTGACACTGTTTAGAATAACATTCCTTTCACTAGTCTTCTGTCTTCTCTTTGCGACTTGGAAAGGTTTGGGCATTCGTGTGTTCAGTTGTACGCGTTATATCAAATAAATCAACCATTTCTAGATATAACATATTGATTAATGATTCATAATAGTAGAGATAAGAAATAGACTGATTACAATTAATGTTAAATGGACAACCTTTTTAATATAATATATATATATATATATATATCTTTATATAATTTTATTGATTCTAATGATAACAGAACTCTTACCAAAACATCAATGACATGCCAACATCGACGAGTTAAATCAATTTCATCAAAAAATATACTACGATCAAGCATCATACAAACATTTTCAGCTGTAATTAAATCCTACAAGGTAGAGAAACCAAAAATGAAAAAAATAAAATAAGTTGGTTTATTGCACATAGAGAAGTTAGAAAGCTCTCATTTCAAATCAGTGGTGCATATGAGTTGCTGGCTGTAGGATCTTGAGAGAGAACATGGCTTATGAAGCTATTATTGATTACCGGCTATTATATGACTGTATTTGCTAACATTACTTCACCAACTTATGGATCAGACCTTTAGGTTGAAGACTCCGAGTGTAACCTCCATAAGAAAATCACTTGTTTTGATTTGGGCACTTTGGTAGTATCCTAGCTCTCGAACAAATCGAATGATTTATATGGTGCGCATCTATTTGATGCCTCCTTGTATTAATGTTGATATGTTTAAATAAATAGATTATGTGAAATTAAAATTTATCAGTTCTGTTCTACTTTAGATGATCAGTGAACTTTGATTCAATTAGCCAAAATGCATCATCAGACATTGTGTATTACGTATTGTTCATTGAGGAAAGTACTGAACTGCGTTACAAGACAAGCCCTCACATGGAATCCTTAAGGTTGAAGGAGGATAGGAAAACTAAAGAACACATTACGTCGGGGAAATGAAGACAAACAAAAGTGAGAAAAATGAACAAGAAATGGATGGAACTAGAAAAGAAGGCTCAGGACAGAGTGGGTTGGAGAATGGCTAATCGGCGGCCTATGCTCCATTAAGAGGTAATAGGCGTGCGTGCGTGCGTGCGTAAGTAAGTAGTTGCTCATTGTTCAGTACAAAAATATAAAGTTCACTAATGATTAGCTATAAAATTCTAATAGTTTCTAAAAGACATTCTTCAGAAATATCCATACTGTTAGATCAATGTTTCTAGTTATATTATATATCAAGTTAGTTAAAATGTTTCTGTAAAATGTTCGTACAATATCATGGATTGATTGAAATTAGACATTTAACATCATTAGATGTCAGCTTAGTGGTATCTAGAAGTTAAGTGTTTGCGAATGAGATCCAAATTCTCTGGATTCAAGTCCTGTATGTGGGATCGTGGATGTATACTCTCGAACAGTCCGATACTAAGATGAAATAGCAGTCCATATTCCATCAGTGAGATATCAGTCCTACTCATTGCCTTCTCACATCAAAGGTGTTGTTTACAAAAATGAGAGGACGAAAAGCGAATGTCCAGTGCTTTAACCGAATCTCAAACCAATGGTGTACATCGGCTCTTGTATCCTGCGTGAACAAATGGAGTATGAACCAATTTCTTGGTCACCGGCTACCATGGGACTGCATCTCTTCACGATGCTCCATTGTCTTGTGGATTAGACCTTTAGATCGAAGGCTCGGGATGTGGCTACCTAAGAAAACCACCTACTTCCATTTCGGCATCCGGGTAGTATCACAGCTCTCACACATATCAAATGAGATCTGTGTGTGGTGTATATGTATTTGATGATTTCTTGTACCAATATCCAAATGATTTCAAGTACTCCTCATGATGAAGAAATATACCAATTCAAAGTTCTCCAGATCAGTTACATTCAATTATCAATACATCATTAGCTTATAGTTATATATTAAGAAAAACAAAACAAAACAAAGAAAACAAGACCTACTTTCAAGTATTCCACACAAATTTGTGTTAAACGTGGTAGAATATACTTTTTTGTTGCATATAATAAATAAAATAATAAATTAATATCATTCTCCACTAATAATTCATCACTATAGATATAAGATAACATAATTTGAAAGGCCTAAAATATTGAAAAAAAAAGAAAAAAAAGAAAAACAATAAAAAGGGGGGGTTGGGTTGAAGGGTGGGGTGGGGTGGGGTGTGGTGTGGTGAGGGTATTAGGATTATGAAATGAGTAAGGATAAGTAATTCAAATGTCATCTCTATGATACAATAGACTATGACTTATGGATGAACCAATCAGATTCAAGATCAAATATCTTGGGTTTTTTTGTATTTGGTCAAAAAGCGTTTAAGAATTTTAGCTGATAGATCTTGGGTTCGAATCTCGCGTGGGAGGGGGTTGGGGTGGGATTGTGGTTATGTACTACTGATGAGTTTCATATTAGGATTAAAATGGTCATTCAGTGCTTTCAGGTTTTTTCATAGTGATCTAGTTTTAATTGATTTGTGATTTCAACCAATTGAAATTTTAGCTGATGTTCATTCGTGATGAAAACTTGAAATCTAATTGTTAACCATAACCATCATAATCTTTACTTTTCATACTGTTTTATAATCATTATTTAATTCTAATAAGTAGGTGGATATTCTTAAGATCCGTTTAATGCTGCTCAAAGGTCGTCCATGAATTATAATCTCAATAAATAATCGATTTTTCTTGCTTCCAGATTTTCCATGGTCGTCTAGCTTCAACTGATTCATGATTTTAACCATTGAAATTTTTCTTGAATAGTTGAATACTGTAATAATCAATTGAGTTGTCATTCAGTAAAACAAAAACAAAATTTTCATATCATTGAACAATATAAATGGATCAATCAATGTGTGTATTGCTGTTATTAAATCACTACGCGTCCATATCAGGTTAGTGAATGTAAATTGTTACAAACTCCTGTACTAGGATGAAACAGGATTTCTGGGTTATCAATAGGGATTGAACTAAGATCAATTAGTTGTTACGATCTCCTCTACTAGGATGAAACAGGATTTCTGGGTTATCAATAGGGATTTAACTAAGATCAATTAGTTGTTACGATCTCCTCTACTAGGATGAAACAGGATTTCTGGGTTATCAATAGGGATTTAACTAAGATCAATTAGTTGTTACGATCTCCTGTACTAGGATGAAACAGGATTTCTGGGTTATCAATAGGGATTTAACTAAGATCAATTAGTTGTTACGATCTCCTGTACTAGGATGAAACAGGATTTCTGGGTTATCAATAGGGATTTTACTAAAATCAATTAATATCAGAAGGGGTTTTGTGGAGATTGTAGTAATTTCAATGATTAAGATCATGAGTCAGTTGAAGCTAGACCACCATGGAAAACCTGGAAGCACTGGACGGCCGTTTCGTCCTATTATGGGACTCCTCAGAAGTGCGCATCCACGACCTCGCTCCCTGCGAGATTCGAACCCAGGACCTACTGGTTTCGCGCGTGAGCACTTAACCACTAGACCACTGGGCCGGCATCCAACGGTGTCAATGTCCTGGGTTCGAATCTCGCAGGGGGCGAGGTCATGGATGCGCACTGCTGAGGAGTCCCATAATAGGACGAAACGGCCGTCCAGTCCATCCAGGTTTTCCATGGTGGTCTAGCTTCAACTGACTCATGATCTTAATCATTGAAATTAAGATCAATTAGTTGTTACGATCTCCTGTACAAGGATGTAACTGGATTTCTGGGTTATCAATAGGGATTTAACTAAGATCAATTAGTTGTTACGATCTCCTGTACTAGGATGAAACAGGATTTCTGGGTTATCAATAGGGATTTAACTAAGATCAATTAGTTGTTACGATCTCCTGTACTAGGATGAAACAGGATTTCTGGGTTATCAATAGGGATAGTTGAAGAGACCTCCCCCTCCGCTCAATAACTCTATTCACAGTATAATCTGTTACTGACTTATTAATTTTACAAGCTGTTTTATTTACATATTGCTATTAGTTATATTATGTAATCTGATATTATAATCATTGTACTATACAATTATGTTTATCCATCGAACGGTTGTACAGATAAGGGAGTTAGTTTTTACGGGATTAAATCGTTCATCTCATGCTCAACCCTTCTACTTTATTTGGGCTTACCACTGGCAGTACCTTCAGAGAGGTTACAGGTTTAGTCATAAATTCATTGAATATAGATCTCTTCGTTGAATTTGATGTTTTTCAAGTTTGAAAATTGTGAACTGGAGTTTCGAAAGTTTTGTTACAAAAGTCATATTAGTAATGTAAAACTAGTATAAAATGATGATACTGTTAGATAAAATGAGCTGTTCAAGACTCCATTTTAATGATGTAGAACTATAAATATAGTACTCTGTACTAATAATTATTATGTACTAATTAGAGACTAATTCCTAGAAGGAATTTCTCGAGGTGTAATTGTGGTGTGTGCTATTTATGTATACATAAGTAGTATATGACGTGAGCACTGAACAGAATGTCCGGCGGCAGAGAGATAAGAAGATCAAACAGAAGGCAATTTGTATGAAAATGCAAGAACAAGGAGATTCTGAGTGATTTGAGACAATTGATGAATGATTTGCAAATTAACGATTCAATATATGGTTGTTTGATTTTACTAAGTAGTTCTGTAATTGGTTTGTCCCCACCGGTGTTTTATTCACTACATAATGACTAACTATCATCAATATAAATGACAAGGCAAATATTAGTAAGTAACATATATGATATCTTTACGATAATATAAACTCGTTGAAATGTAAACGACTAAATTGTAACTCAAAGACTTCAGAGATAAGTACTTGTTGTAAGAATTAAAGGTCTTGATTTCTATTCTCGATAAGATGATGAATAAAGACTTCTGAAAAGTTTTATATTAGGACGAAACATCTATTCAATGCTTCTTGGTTTGAAACAATTGCTTAACTAAAGTCATTCAGTGCTCGTTGGTTCACAACAACTCATTAACTATGAAGAAAGCATTGAGAAGTGGAATCCAGTTTGACTCATGTTTCGTCCTATTCAGCTGGATGTACCTGCATCTCAGAGTTGATGTTGACTCTGAGACTCGAATGCAGTACCGTTTGTTTCAAATGAGTCCTGATAGCCACCTGTTTGTGCAATACAGTGAAGTTTAAATTCACTTGTTGTTGTTTTAATTATATCTTCCCATTGTTATTTAGAACTGCAATTGATCAGTCTGTCTTATTGGCATATGTGCATTCTGTGCGAATTGCCTCTATATAACCTTAAGTTACAAGCTTTTTTAAAACAAAGATGGATGATAGTGTTTAGTAGTGGAATCCAGTTTAACGCGCGTTTCGTCCTATTCGGGACTCGTCAGCTGAATGTGCCTGCATCTCAGAGTTGATGTTCACTCCAGGGTTCGAACCTAGTACCGTTCGTTTCAAACGCCATCACATTTACCATTTATATTTAAATCTAGTTGTATTTGATAAATTTTTAATTTTTATGCAAATTTTTATTTACTTAGAAACATGTAGAAGGTACTTGAAATAAACGAGACATTTATTATGTCTATGCATATCAATTATGTACATTATTATTCATACACTTATATTTACATAACCTGACTGTAACCAATGGTTTTAAATTTAATACGATAGACATTGAGTTTATATCTGGCCTTGAACTAGTTATATATAAGAGTTATATAATATATCCTTTTGGGTCAGAGTAATTTTATATTGGGTTTCAGGAGAATCAGATATCATGTAGACTTTCACGTGACAATCCGAACAGTACAGCTTAACCCCGTTTAACAGGAGAGCCAGACACTGCTTAGGCTTAAAATTTGTAGCCCAAATAATACGGCTCAATCGAGCTACATAGGAAAACCAGACACCGTATAGGATTTAATGCTACAATCTGAATAGTACAGCTCAATCCTGTTGTGCAACCATACAGGTACCAAGCACTCTGATAGATCATTCGCACCATTCATATACACGTTCATATCACATGTGTAGTTATTTCGACCAATGATCGCAGAAATCAATTATGCACGGCACGAACATGGAAAAGTTGACCCATTCCGCTTACACGACAGTCAAACTCACTAATGTTAGGAATAGCGACATACCTTATAATATCCCAATGATAATGACCTTTAAGAACACTGAAAAGCAACCATCAGTATGAATGAGATCGGTTAACCAGCAAACCAATTTTGTATAGGAACAGTCCGCAAAACTTGCCAAAGCAATGCCGAACCATCCACAATACCAATGACGAACCTCCAGTCTCATATGAGACCTTCAGCTTCACACAGTCCTACAACTTATACCGCATATAACGCATATGTAGGATAATAAACGAAATAGCCCAGTTTGAAGCGTTATAGCTTAAATAAAGCTTAAAACCCATTACTAGACCACGAAGAGTATTTTTATCGCGTTTGCGAGATTTTCATTTTTCCGACTTTTCAGACCCTGGCTTAGTTGGGGATAGTATCCCTCATTTATAAATATATATATATCTTTTTTATTCTCAGAAAATCAAACCAGGTTTCCAACCAATATAGCGCACCTAATACGTTTCGAATAAGTCAACATTTGGATCGTGAATTCTAACGTTGATGATTAAACATGGTTACGTTGTTACAGAAATGAAGCTATGGTTCAGCGGTTATAACACTGAGCTTTCAGTCAGTGAGTAACGCGAAAAATAAACGCAAGATAATACCATTAGCACTAACAAAAGTAATATACTCCAATCTGGATGGTAAAGTCTTTTCCTGGGCACTTCGCTATGATTCAATGCAGCCTCTCATAAAAGTGATCTTTAATGTCATCGTTGTTATCATTGGTTGGTGCATAAAATTAAATAAAATTCATTGTAATCCCCTTCTGATAATTCTGGATGCATGAGAATCCCATGCCATAAATGCATTTCATGCTTCTTTGGATAGCATTAGTGCAACTTCCTACGTGCGCGGTGCTAACATTGCATCCCTCATGACCAGAGTACAACAGCATCTCTCCCGAATCTAATGTTTTTCTGTCCAGATTGGGTCTAATGGGTGTCACTTATTCTGATAACTACCATGTTGTACCTTCTCATTTCCATAGCTATCTGACTGGCCCTCTCCGCGTCCCACATTGTCCAGTCATTCCAGATATCCATATTAATTGTTTCTTTTGATTGTTAGAAGTAACCTCTGCCGTGTGACTTATGAAGAATCTCGGCTTTCGCCATGAGGCGTCATAATTCTTCTAAATGAAGATCTTTCAACTTTCAAGATAGAGTTTAAATGGTTCATTTCTGGTTGGCGTTATATAATCAGAAAGTAACTCAATCGATATATTCCCATGTATAGTGTCTTTATAAAATTTAACTTATCATCTTATTACTAGCTTCTTGTGTACACGGTTGTTGCAAAGACTTATCAGTCTTGACACATCTATATATATATATTACCTACATACTGAGCAAGTAAACAATTACAAACTCATTCACATGTTGAAATCCAAATAGATTTAATGAGCATATCATAAAACCCAAAGATCTTGTATATACGACTCATAGTAAGGTAGTACTAGTCGTTTCTTCTTTTTCACTGATTGCCTGTTTAACATCAGTCCATAATTCACTGAACGAAAAGCCAATCCTACATTAGTCATCTATATAACAACGTGAATTTATGTATATGTTAGAAGAATTTTTGTAGATATGATAGTAATTTCAATGGTTAAGATCATGAATCAATTGAAGCTAGACCACCATGAAAAACCTGAAGCATCGGACGACCGTTTCATCCTAATATGGGAATCATTAACAGTGCACATCGACGATCTTGCTTTGAGAGACTGAAACCCAGTATATATCAGTCTCGTGGGTGAGTGCTTAACCACTAGACTACTGAATTGGCATCTAACGGTGTTAATGTTTAACTTCAACATCTACATCCACCATTGTCTTCATTGAGTTACTATCTGACAACTGATCTAGTTGAACTTTACTGATCACTTCTTCTCACTAGAATTCCAAGAACTACCTCTTAGAGGCCGTCACTAGTGAGTATATGTTGAATCTTATCAGAAGTGACCAATGGATTTCAACCATGTCTGTTGTAAGATAATAACTCACTGATGACAATGGTGGACGATGACTCAATTTCGTGAATTGGTTGAATTTAGACATTAACACTGTTAGATGTTGGCTCAGTATCCTCGAGATTAAGCATTCACGTGTGAGACTGATAGGTCCTAGGTTCAAAGATCACGAGGCGGGATCATGGATATTCACTGCCACTGAGAAATTCCACAATAAGTCGAAACGACCGTTCAGTACTTCCATGTTTTTCATGATGGTCTAGCTTCTATTGAATTATCATCTCAACCATTGAAATTATGTATATATATATATATATATATATATATATATATATATATATATATATATATATATATATATATATATATATCTATAAAGTATATCTTACCTTTGGATGTATATCTGGTATATGATATTCTCGACGATTATCAGAATTTTTATTATCACAATCAGCCATTGGTCCATAAAACATTGCTTCAAATACTGGTGATGCAGCTGCTAATATTAAACGATGTGCAGCAAAACGCCATATACATGATTCTGTATCATTTATTCCATTAAATGATCCTTTATTAGGATCTATTAAATTTGAATGATTATTATTAGTAGTATTATTAGTAGTATTATTGATTCTATTTAATAAATTATTAGTTGAATTTAATTGATGTGATTTATTTTGTATATTATAATCATTAGATTTATGATCTGAATGACAAGATAATTGTTCACCATCTGAATTCAATTCTGTTGCATCATCAATAGTATTCTCTTGATCGGTATCAGTACATCTTGTATATAATATATCTAATGGAGTATTATATATATGATTACTATCATTATTATTAGTAGTAGTATTAGTAGTAGTAGTAGTAGTATTAGTAGTATTAGCATTATGAGTAGTATTGTTATTAGCAGTAATAGTACGAGTAGTAATTGTAATTGTATTAGGAGGATTGTGATTACTATTACTACTACTATTATTATTAGTAGTAGTATTATTATTAGTAGTATTATTAGTAGTATTGGTATTATTATCATTATTATTGTATATAATTCGTGATTTATTTAAACAATTTGTTGATTTTGTTGTAACATTTAATAATTGTTTATTTGTACAACAATTGATTTGACTTTTTGGACCACCTGGTGCACTAGAATCATTTGAATGTAAACTAATAGATGTATTATTACCTAATATATCATCACCGCCAACAATAAACCATACATCAGCAAATTTTTCAGTAATAAGCATTTGACGCCATAATTGACGACTACCAAATAAATTAGCCTATATATATAGATTGAAAATATTGAAAATATTAGAAAAACAAAATTGATCAGAAAGGGTATATGTTTTATAGATATTATAAGAGTTTTCAATAGATAAGATTATGATACAATAGAAATTAGACTATCACTATGGAAAATCTGATTTATTTATTTATTGATTTTAACACATAAGTATAGGTACAGGGAGGCACTAAGTACATATGCGCCACACAAATCAAAATTGATTTGTGTGAGGGTTGTGATACTGCCCGGGTGACCAAACCGAAGCAGGTGGTTTCCTTAGGGAGCCACACCCCGAGCCTTTGACCTGAAGGTCTGATCCACAAGGCAGTGGAGCATCGTGAGGCGATGCAATTCAATGGTAGTCGGTGACCAACGATTGGTTCATACGCCATTTGTTCCTTCAGGATACTGGAGCTCAACCCATGTACACCATTGGTTTGGGATCCGGTTAAAGCGCCGGACATTCGGTTTTCGTCCTCTCATTTTTGTAAACAACATCCCTGATGTGAAAAGGCAGTGAGTAGGACTTCCCTGGCAGAGGCTATATACGCATGGCCATGTGAGAGCATTTGGAGAGGGAGAGTGGACTCTCCTCACTCTCGGCCATACCAGGGCATTCGGGGGCGGGAAATCTGATAGCATTATCCTACTGTGATCATTGATAAGTCCTCGGTTCAAACCTCGAGAAGAGGTGAGATTGTCGATGTAAACTGTTATCGCCAAGTCTTATCCAATACTTCTAGGATTTTCATAATAGTCTAGATTCAATTAACTCATAATCTTCAATAATAATTAAATTGTTAAAATGAATTTGTAATTATAAAAGATTTGTGTAATATACTGAATTCTATAGTTTACATTATGAACTGAATTTTAATTAGAAAACTATCAAGACTAGAATAGTCATTTGAGTAGATAGATGATATGTATGCTTTTTAGATTGTTGCCTAAACCAGCTAATTAAGGGACAAAACCAAAAATGAGTAGGATGCTTGGCGAGATTATAATTTATAAACAAATCAATCATATATGACATAACAGGTCTCGGATTTTGGTGCATAATTCACTCATCCATTTCGTTAAATAGAATTTTGGCATTATAAATGATGTTAGCTCAGGATGAAACCCATTCCAAATCTAATAGCTAACCTTAATTATCAAAGTCAGTTTAGCGTCACTCATAGGTCGTCCATAAGCTATAGTCTTATCGAATGTCTTTATTGTCTAACTAAATCACAAATATGATAATATAGCTTATACAGTAATACCACACATATGTAGGGTAGTAAATGAAATAGCCCAGCTTAAATAGTTAGGGCTTAGTGAACGCTCAAAACCCATTCATTGTCTTGTATCGGAATACAATTACATGATAACCAAGATCATTTTTTATCGGATTTACTAAAATTTACATTTTTCTCTTCTTAGTAAATAAATCCAGATTTCTAACTAATATAGTACGTCACTCAATCTCTTATGTTCTTGAATCCACTGATGGCTAAATAGTCCTGTAGAACATCTTTTCTTGCAGGTAAATAATACTTTCTGTTTTGGATTAAACTTGATCAAATTAGATAAGGATACATTAAACTTCTCAACAATGAACATTCATCAATCTACTAACGATTAAATCTGGTAGGTTAAGCGTTTGCACGTGAGACTGAAGGCTCTGAGTTCGAATCCTGCGAATGGAATTGTGGATAGTTACTGCAATAGGACAAAATGATCATTTAGTGCTTCCAGATTTTCCATAATGATCTATCTTTATTGGATTTATGAATTCAACTATTAAAATTTTATTTGTTCAGAGAATATCTCTGATGGTGAAATCAGAATCATACAGAATCAGTGTACCATCTTTTTGTATAAAGGTATTTATTATCAACATGATATATGCCAATAGAAGAGTTATGGATTGGCTAACTGCACAGATATAATATTCAAGCATAATTTGTATTACTATAGAATGAGAATGTAAGGAAAACTATGGTTTGAACAGGCATCTAATAGTTTATCTAGTATGAACAGTAATGTAGGGGTACGACAAAAGTGTATGATTATTGATAATAATCAGAAACTCATTGTCTAAATCATGGATTGATCTTAGAGAAACTTTGAAAACTGGGAGGTATCGAATAGCTATTTCATCCTATTATGAAACTTCTCAATAGGGCACACACACACACAACCTTTCCAGTAATCTTACCTAATACCTTCAAATCCCTAAGTGGACGCCTTAACTTCCGACCACTCCGTCAGCATCCTATTGATTAATACAATCAACTTTTATCATGTTGGTGAGATTTTGTTGGAGTTTTGTTCTCTGAGTTGGTTGGTTTATTCGTGGAGTATTTTATCGTTCTTCTGAATGATATCATCAGCACAAACTTAAGATAGAAGTGAAGTGTCCGGATTTCTTCACATGTGATTTTTAGCTTGTTGGTCTACAGGACAAACTGTAAATCACATGTGGAGAAGCTCAAATACTTCATTTCTATCTGAAGTTTGTTCTGATGATGTCGTTCAGAAGAACAATAAAAGCTCCATGACTAAACCATTCAGCTCACAGAATAAAACATCATCAAAATCATCCATCTAAGCTACAAATCTTCTCCACCATCTCATATATAGTGTGTAGTTGCATCATAACACTACATAGATGAATAAAGATTAGTCGACGTTAGATGTAAAACACAACTGGTAACTTTAGTTATAGACAGACATTCTACTTTGAGAAAAATAAATCAATTTCATATCTCGAATACACAATGCATCACACACACACACATTCATTGAATTGTTCAATATGTGATCCAGCTTCAAGAACATTAAATCATTCGGGGTGTGTGTTTTTTTTTGTTTTCGTTTTTGTTTTTCATTTAATTACATTAAAGTACCCATTTTAGTTACTAACGGAATCACATAAAAATTTGTCTATGCGTTAAACTGAATTGCTCATGTTTAGCAAATCAAAAGGAATCATAAATAGTTTATATATAGAGAAATGTAATTTGATTGAGATCATGAACCGATTGATGTTAGACCACCATTGAAAACCTGGAAGCACTGGATGGCGGTTTCGTCCTATTGTGGGACTCTTCAGTAGTGCGCATCCACGGTCCTGCTCGCGGGATTCGAACCCAGGGCCTTCAGTGTCGCACGCTGAGCCAGCATCCAACGGTGTTTTTATCTTACTTCAGCCAATCCACGAGATTGAGCGACCATCTTCCATTGTACTGAGGTAGACACCTGTTTCTAGTGCTTCAAGGTTTTCAATGGTGGTCTAACATCAATCGGTTCATGATCTCAATTAAAAACTTGACAATCTCCATAACCCCTAAACTGATAAATGCAATTTGATTAAATAATAATAAAACATCTATTAAATACAATAGTTGAATTTATGAGTCAATTGAAGCTAGATCATCATGGAAAACCTGGAAGCATTGGATGGTTATTTCATCGTAGAATTGGATTCCACAGTGGCAGTGTACATTCATGATCCCACTTCATGAGATTCAAATTCAGGATTTCTTAGTCATATATATGAACACTTAACTTCTAGATCAATGTTGTTAATATGTAACTTTAACCATTACATAAAATTGTACCACCGTCTATTATTGTATTCAGTGAGTTATTCTCTTCAAAATAGAACTGGTTAAACTCCACTAGTTATGGTTCTCAAGTTTTCCATGATGGTCTAGCTTTAATTGACTTATAAATTCAACTGTTGAATAGATGATCTTTATAAATTATATATTGTACTTAGTATTACTTAATAGTAATAATAATTGATTTTCTTACTTTCTAATTTATGTATTGAAATGTAAATGTCTTGACTATACCATCACATCAAGGATATATCTATCAGTAGACATTAACAGCGTTGGATACTGACCCATTGATCTAGAGATTAAGTATATGTGTGGGAGATTCATAGGTCCTCAGTTAAAGTTTTTCGAGGTGGGATCGTGGATGCGTACTGCCACTGAGGAGTCTCAAACTAAGACGAAACGGCTGTCTAATGCTTCCAGGTTTTCCGAGATGGTTTAGCTTTGATTAATTCATGAATTCAACTATTACATTTCAATGAATATTAATTTCTTACACGAATTATTGAGAAATAGGAATGGTTGTTTTAATAAGGGATGTATAGTTAAAGTATTAATCAGGTTTCTTCAATAAACTAAATTAGATGAGTAGAGTTGGAGATTACTGACAGAAATGAGACTGAAGGCCCTGGGTTCGAATCCCGCAAGCGGGATCGTGGATGCGCACTGCCAAGCAGGAGTATCATATTAGGACGAAACGGTGGTCAGTGCTTCCAGGTTTCCAACATTGGTCTAACTTCAGTTAATTCATGATCTCAATGAAAAACCTAATAATTTCCAAAACCCCAATAATGATAATTAACATGTGCTCACTAGTGATTAGCTTCGTGTGGGAATTCTCGGGGTTCTAATGAGAAGCCATGACCAGTGGAGCTAATCCGTGTTGGGTAGAGACAGGTATCTACCTCTGTACAATGGAAGTTGGTTGCACAATTTCGTGGATTCGTTGATGTTAGACACTAACACCATTGGATACAGGCTCAGTGGTCCAGTAGGTTAAGCGTTTGCGCTCGAAACTGAAGGCCCTGGGTTCGAATCCCGCAAGCGGGATCGTGAATGCGCACTTTCGAGGAGTCGCATACCAGGAAGAAATGGCCGTCCAGTGATCACAGGTTTCCAACGGTGTTCTAACATCAATCGATTCATGATCCCAAAAAAAATGAGAGAGCTTGGTTATTTAGCCTGAAGTTGAACATTAAGTCTAGCGTGATTACATGACTAAAAAGCCATTAGTTTTCGATTAGAATTATATTATACAATCAATTAGTAGTAAATGTTGTGTACTTACGCTCTTGATATTATAGATACAGATATTTTGTTCTGGTGTTGTGAACCTTACTGAGTTTAACGTACCATTAACCAGTGTCTTAGTTAGAAACAATATAACTGAGCTGTTCTATCATGACTGATCTCTTGTGTAACTGTGAACTAGATCAGCATAACATTGCTATTAATTGATCATTAAATGGTAATCAATGTCATATATGTCAGGTCCTTCTTAGTGCAGATCAAATCCTATCGACTAGGTTGCGATATGGCTATCAGTCTATCTAGATAACTCAACATTGGGTATACTATGTTGAGATCCTAGGTTTAGGGTTTCTTGTTAATTACCTCTGGTTAGCGTTTTTTTAGCGAGTTAGTTTTCTACGGGATGGGGTCGCTAACCCCATGCCCAACCCTCCTCCTTTATCCGGGCTTGGGACCGGCAGTAGCCCCCGGAAAGGGGCTCCTGCCCTTGCAAGGCACGGATTGGCAAAGCAAGAGCAGCATATTTACAACTGAAGAATATCTGGAACTCAAAACAATTAGCAACCAACACCAAAGTCAGAATTTTCAATACAAATGTCAAAACAGTTCTACTGTATGGCGCGGAAACCTGGAAAACGACGAAATCCATCATCCAAAAGATATAGGTGTTTATTAACAGTTGTCTACGCGAAATACTTCAAATCCGTTGGCCGGACACTATTAGCAACAACCTACTGTGGGAGAGAACAAATCAGATCCCTGTGGAAGAAGAAATCAGGAAGAAGCGCTGGAAGTGGATAGGACACACATTGAGGAAAACACCCAACTGCGTCACAAGACAAGTCCTCACATGGAATCCTCAAGGTCGAAGGAGGACAGGAAGACCAAAGAATACATTACGCCGAGAAATGGAGATAGATATGAGAAAAATGAACAAGAATTGGATGGAACTAGAAAAGAAGACCTAGGATAAGGAGTGGGTTGGAGAATACTGATCGGCGACCTATGCTCCATTGGGAGTAACAGGCGTAAGTAAGTAAGTAAGTTAATTACCTCTAACTACCATCTTATTTCAAGTATAACATTGATTGCTATTTGTGATTAATCACTAATATAACTTTACTAAAACTTTTTAGTTATAACAATCTGATATTATTTGATGTTATTGTTAATAACAATAGATTTTAAGGGATAAACATTATTTAATCAAATACTATTACTTACCCTCCAATCAGTTGAATCTGTTCTCTTTTCTGTATATTTAACTTCTTGTTTTTTAATAATTTTTTCAGTATCTGAATTATTTGATTCATATAATTTAGGACGATGTATCAATGATTCATGATGATTATTAGCTATAATTTCTGTTACATGTAAATCTTCAATACTACTAGCATCACTTATACTAGTAGTTATACTAACATTATCAATATTAGATAATTGTGAAGGTTGAATTGATGATTGATTATTACGTAATACATAAATTTCTCTATCTCTATTATTATTAGATGAATTATAAGTTCCAAGTGTTTCATTGGTTTGTGCATTATGATTACTATGGATGTTATTATTATTATTATTATTATTATTATTATTACTATTATTATTATTATTATTACTTCTGTTCGGTGCTCCACTTTCATATTGCTGTTGATGTATTCCGTTTAGATGATTTCTATTCAATGTATTATTCATTGTCAATGAATCATTTACACTAAGATTTGAATCTATATGACGATGTTGAACTATATCATTTTGTGAACGTCTTAATTGACCATGATATAAACCTCTTGTTTGTACAGCTTGTGTAACTCTAGTTGTTTGCATAGAATTTATTCGTGGTTGAGATCGAATAGGTTGTAAAAGACGTTCATTAGAATCTTCATTTGGTGAACGTAATGAAAGTGTTTGTACTGTATTTGTAGATAATGATTGTGAATGAATATTTCGACATATAGGATTAGTAAAAATAATTGGTCGATCTACCATAGTTTCATTTAATGATGATGAATGTGAATTGTTAAAATTTCTTAAATTAGAAATATCTTGTTCTATTATAGGAGAATGTTGGGTATTTTCTAAATCAGCTGATAATCTATAAGATCTATTTCTTGAACGTCTGGGACGAATTAATCCATACATTGGAATTAAAAGTAAATTTTGTCGTTCAATTAATGTATCATGACTTAAACCATTATGTCTATCTTGAAATGATCGACGTATTTGATTTGTTAATCTATCATCAACATGTAAATTAAGTTGATGTAAATGATTATGACTTGATCCTGATCTTAAACGAATATTTCTTGCTAAATAGTAAGAACAAAATGAAAATAAACAATATGAATTACTTATGTTAGTTTCTTACTTACTTACTTACTTACTTACTTATGCCTGTTACTCCCAATGGAGCATAGACCGCCGACCAGCATTCTCCAACCCACTCTGTCCTGGGCCTTCTTTTCAAGTTCCATCCAATTCTTGTTCATTTTTCTCATATCTATCTCCATTTCTCGGCGTAATGTATTCTTTGGTCTTCCTCTCTTCCTTCGACCTTGAGGATTCCATATGAGGGCTTGTCTTGTGACGCAGTTGGGTGTTTTCCTCAATGTGTGTCCTATCCACTTCCAGCGTTTCTTCCTGATTTCTTCCTCCACTGGGATCTGATTTGTTCTCTCCCACAGTAGGTTGTTGCTAATAGTGTCCGGCCAGCGAATCCGAAGTATTTTGCATCTTAGTTTCTTAGTTCAGTATAAATATTCAAATTAAAAGTTGATATCTGGTAGAGAGAACATGAATCTTGTGTGTTTAAATATTTTATCAACTGATGATATCAAAACAGATATACAGTACTTGAGATAAAGTATTGACTTACATTCAACAAGAGAAATGCAGGAGAATATGATCAGTGTAGCAATAGTGTCAGTAACAGCGTGTGGTTTCAACGTACACAAAGGAAAAAGTAAAATTCTCCGATACAACACATTATGCATTAATGAAATCAAATTTGACGGAGAAACTTTAAAAGATGCAAAAACTTTCACATATTTGGGCAGCATCATTAATCAACACGGTGAATCTGATACAGATATGAAGGCGGGATCAGCACAGTAAGAGTATCTGGAATTCAAAATAACTGTCAACCAACCCCAAACTTAGAATTTTTAATACAAATGTCAACACAGTTCTACTATGTGGGACGGAAACTTAGAGAACTGCGAAAGCAATCATCCAGAAGATACAACTGTTTATTCATAGTTGTCTATTGAAAATACTTCGGATCCGTTGGCCAAACACTATCAACAACGACCTACTGTAAGAGAGAACAAACCAGACTTCAGCGGAGGCAGAAATCAGGAAGTGAATAGGACACATAAGGCAAGCCCTCACATGGAATCCTCAAGGCTGAAGGAGTAGAGAAAGACCATAGAACATATTACACCAAGAATTAGAAGCAGATATGATAAGAATAAACAACAATTAGATAAAACTAGAAAGGAAGGCCCAAGATAGAATAGGTTGGAGAATGCTGGTCGGCGTCTTATGCTCCATTGGGAATAACAGGCGTATGTAAGTAAGTAAGTAACTTATACAGTTGATTTTACAAATTGTTGATATTGTGTTTGAGAACTTAATCTGTCTGAGTTGGCTTCTAAAATACCTGAGTCTCTAATCTTTTATTGTGTACTGTTTCAAATGAATAGTTTATTGTTCGAAACCTGTTCTATATTCGTCTATATTCTATGATCAAATACATTTCTAATCAAATTATGACTATTCTTCAACTTAATCATTTTGATAATAACATATCTATTGTTCAAACAATTAATTCACAATATTCAATTAAGATCAAATAACAGAAGTCGTCAGTTATATGTAACGAAATCTGAATACTTCACTTTTACCTGAAGCTTCTTACCGATGATGATTTGAAAGAACGGAGATAAACATTTCATAGCTAAAAGAACCAATTCAGAAAGTGAAACCTTATGAAAATCATCCGCTCTCCACCCCCCCCCCCAGCCACTAAGCAATAAACATTTCCTCCAAACAAACGTTATCATATCTTTAGCTTCCAAAATCTACTATCTTATGTATACATATAACAAAACAACAACAACAAAAAAAAAGAAGTTATAAATAAGTAACATACCACTAGCACTACGTTGAAACCAAAATCCTGATGAATCATTTAATTGATTTTGTGAACGATAATATCTAGTATTTGGATCATTTAAATAAATAATATTACGATCATCTTCAAAACGTGGTGATAATTCTTGATGTCGTCTATGACGAAATGAAACATTACGATCATGACGTCTTTCTCTACAATATAATTCACGTTGATCTTGATTTATAGTTATTATTGGTGATGAATAATTTTGTATTGGTTCATTATTCATTTCATTATATGAACTATGTGATTGTTCTTGGTGTTCAGATTGTTCTTGTTCTTGTTCTTGTTGGTGTTCTTGTTGTTGTTGGTGTTGGTGTTGTTGTTGTTGTGGAGATGATGGTTCAGACATGATAATTTTGAAGAATTATTGATCACTTTACAAAACTAATAATTTTTCATTCGTTTTCTTTTACGTTAATTCAAGTAATTTAAGTTGTTATTTATCAGTGAAATGAATGATGAATAACGTTGAATAACCAACATGAGAAATCTAAGCAAGATACAAATGTAGAAAGAGATTGAGAGAGAGAGAGAGAAAGAGTAAAAACAGCACAAAAATTATTGAATCTTTCCTTTATTTTAATGGTTTTAAATCATGAGTCAATTGAAGCTAGAAAATCATGAAAAACCTAGAAGCACTGGACGATCCAGCTCAGTGGTTAAGCGTTCACACGAGAGACTGATTAATCCTTAGTTCGAATCTGGCAGAGGGGGGGGCGTGATCGTGGCTTCCCACTGCCAATGAAGAGTCTCATACTAAGACGAAACGGCCATCCATTGCTTCCAGGTTTTCCATGGTGGTCTAACTTTAAATAACTAAAATCTCCACAAAACCCTCTTTTGATACCAATCAGCATATGCTCATTAGTGAGTGATTTCAAGAGGCATTTCTTGGAATTCTAGTGAGAAGTAGTGATCAGTGGAGTTCAACCAGGTCTGTTGTGAGATATCAGCTCACTGATGACAATGGTGTACGGTGACACAATTTTGTAGATTGGTTGAAGTTAGACATTAACACCGTTGGATGCCAATCAACTACTCAGTGATCTAATGGTTAAACGCTCGAGCGCGACACTGAAGGCCCTGGGTTCGAATTATATCGTTCTTCAACCGACCTATCTGACATAGTAGGCGTTTGACGAACAATTGTTCCAACCAGTATAGCTAAATTAGTTCATCACGATAGGTAAGCCTCACCATCACACCAAGGTAGTAACAACGATCAGGTGATCACTAGGTGATGATCAATCCTAATGTAATATCAAGTCCTACTTAGTGCAGATCAAGCTTCAATCAATCATGTTGCAATATAATCATTCATGTTAAAATTAAGTTGTTGTTTTGGATCACAAATGATTGAATATGAAAATCTTACTTATGATATTGTTATTGGTAAAACTTGTGCAATACTGAACTACATATAATAAAACCAAAATATCAAAAGGAGTTATGTGGAGATTGTAGTAATTTCAATGGTTAACATCATGAGTCAGTTGAAGCTAGACCATCATGGAAAATCTAAAAGCACTAGACGGTCGTCTCGCAGGGGGCGAGGTCATGGATGCACACTGTTGAGGAATCTCACAATAGAACGAAACGGCCATCCAGTGCTTTCAGGTTTTCCATAATGCTCTAGCTTCAACTGACTCATCATCTTAACCATTGAAAACCAAAATAGCTTATCAGTTAAACAGAATATTCCGCTAATTATTGACATTATTAGTAACTAAGTAAGTAACTAAGTAACTAACTAACTAATAACTTCTATTCTTTATTTTATAATTTTCTCAACTTAAGATTTATGTATACAATATAGTAAAAACAAATATTGATCATTTAAGCTATGCTTATCTATGTTTACACCTAATAGCTCAACAAGCACCATTCTATATACATCATACATATACATATAGATATATACATATATATCTATGTGTATTCATGTGCACACTTGATTGTGCTTTCTTATTAATATTGGTTAGAACATTGGAGACAAAGGTACCTGATCGATAATAACGGAACATTACTATATTGTTATTTTATTATATTACTCTCGCTCTCTCTCTCTCTCTCTCTCTCTCACACACACACACACGAAGAGCGAGAGCGAGAGCGAGTGAGAGAGAGAGAGATACATAAAACCAAGTGTTTCATTGTGTTTTATTTTTCACCTATTTTTAACTATATGACTAATCATTCGAGAAATTAATCAACTGAATTTTAACATGTTTGTGTTCTTTTTTTTTTGGAAAAAACAAGTTGAGTGCGCTGCTGATGAGTCCCATATACTAGGACGAAACAGTCGTTTAGTGCTTCCAGGTTTTTCCGAATGATCTAGCTCAAATGGATTGATGAAATTATTACAATTTCTATAAATCATCATTGTAATCAATTAGTTCTTTATGAGGAATAGAAAGTCGATATCAATTAGATAATGGTTGAGTCAATTAAACAAGATAATAATCTGAAGGAGTTTTGTGGAGATTATACAAATTTCAGTGGATTGGTTGATGTTAGACATTAACACCGTTGGATGCCGACCAACTCAGTGGTATAATGGTTAGACTCTCGCGTGACAGATTGATAGTTCATGGATTCGAATCTCATGGGGAGAGGATCGTAGATGCGCAATGCTGAGGAGTCCCACAATAGGACGAAATGGCCATCCAGTGCTTTAAGGTTTTTCATGGTGGTCTAGTTTCAATTGACTCATGATTTCAACCAGTGGAAATAATAATCAGTTAGTTACACGTTTGTAAAATTTAAAAAAAAATACTGACTAAAAGTACAGTGAATTTTCATATTCAGTTATTTATTACAAAATTGAATATAAATATAATCGATTTTTGTTAAATTTAACAGTTGAATTCATGAGTCGATAAACGCTAGACCACCATAGAAAACTTGAAAGCACTAGACGGCGGTATCGTCCTAGTGTGGGACTCCTTAGTAGTGCTCATCTACGATCCCGCACGCAGGATTCTAAACCAGGACCTTCGATCTCGTGCGCCAACACCTAACCTCTAAACCACTGAACCGTCATCCAATGGTGTTTATGTCCAACTCAAACCAATCCACAAACTAAAGCCAACACTGTTGGATGCCGGCTCAGTGGTCCAGTAGGTTAAGTGTTTTCGCGGGAGACTGAGGGCCTTGGGTTCGAATCCTGCCAGTGGGTTCGTGCATGCGCACTGCTGAGTAGTCCCACAATATAACAAAATGGCCATCCAGTACTTGCAGGTTTTCAATGGTGGTCTAACATCAATCGGTTCATGATCTCAATCAAAATGAATATCATTGAATGATAATCTCTTTATTTTGCTGAAATATTTAAAATTTAAATTATGCAGGGAAGTAATTTCATTAGGTTATTAACAATCTCAATTGTTGTTCATTCTTTTTATGCCTGTCTCGGTTTCTCGGCATAATGTGTTATTTGGTCTTCCTCTTTTCCTTTGACCTTGAGGATTCCAAGTGAGGGCTTGCCTTGTGACGCAATATGTGTTCTATCCACTTCCTGATTTCTGCCTCCTCTGAAGTCTGGTTTGTTCTCTCTTACAGTAGGTCGTTGTTGATAGTGTTTGGCCAACGCATCCGAAGTATTTTGAGTAGACAACTGTGAATAAACAGTTGTATCTTCTGGATGATTGCTTTTGTAGTTCTCTAAGTTTCCATCCCACACAGTAGAACTGTGTTGACATTTGTATTAAAAATTCTAAGTTTTAGGTTGGTTGACAGACAGTTGTTTTGAGTTCCAGATATTCTTTAATTGTAGATATGCTGCTCATATTTCGCCGATCTCCGCCTCCACATTTGCATCAGATTCACCTTGTTATCAAGATGTGTCTGCAATATTGATGTAAAAGATACTCCTTGTAACTGCTCCTGGAATCCCTCCGAGGGCTACTGCCGATCACAAGCCCGGTTAAAGGAGGAGGGTTGGGTATGGAGTTAGCGACCATTTGAAATAGTATCATTCAACTTCAAAGCCTGATTCGTTATCACAAGGATATCTTGTAACAATAGATGTCCTGTAGCAATAAGACATTTTCATCTGATCGGTAAATCTACATTGTTCTACCTTGTGATCGTGATATATACCCTTTAGTAATAAGGTCACTAGTATTTGATCTCAGTTGCTTTCTTTGTATTTCCTGAGTATGTTAAGACTAATGAATGTCCAGTGGTGAGTTTGGAATCAGAATGATAGGAAAATTATAGCAAATAGATTAATGATTTGATGGGTGTTCATTGAATTAGATGGTTAGGTCACGTATTACGTATATTCAAACATCCTATAACTTAACATGAGAAAATTTATTTGGTTGGAGATGATCCCCCTCTGCATGTAGTTTGCCGTGTACTATATTTGATTATTTAGAAAAGGTCAGTGGATATCGTCAATAGTCGGTAAAATATATCCGGGAATACCTTTTGTTGTAAAGAAGTGTTAAAGTAAATCATTTCGGTTTACTTGATATTGTTTTATTTGAATCCAGTTTGACGCGCGCCACTTCGTCCTATTTGGGATTTGTCAGCTGGATAGTGTACCTACATCTCAGAGTTGATGTTCACTCTGGGACTCGAACCCAGTACCGTCCGCTTCAAACGCCATCGCGTTATCCACTTAGCTACTGAGTCCTGATAGTCACTTACTTGTGCAATTGGGTGAAATTTAATTCACTTGATATTATTTTATTTGAATCTTCCCATTAATGTTTAGGACTGACAGGTATCTACCTCTGTACAATGAAAGATGGTCGCAAAATTTCGTGGATTGGTTCAGGTTAGACATTATTACCATTGGATGCCGGCTCAGTGGTCCAGTAGGTTAAGCGTGTGTGCGCGAGACTGAAAGCTCTGAGTTTAAATCCCGCCGACGGGATCGTGGATACACACTGTGGAGGAGTCCCACAATAGGACGAAACGGGTGTCCAGTGCTTCCAAGCGTATAAGCACAAAACTTTACCATTTCAAGTTGTTATATTTCTTAGAATGAGAACAACATGAAACTAGACATGATATATATGAATGAACATTGGAAATTAATTGAGATAGTGCCATTTTTCTCAATATGATTCCAAAGAAGAACTTTTTGAAATATTCAATGTCAGTTACTGAAGTAAACACTAAGTAATTAAATATCAATGTAAGCTGAATACTTTTCATATTATACAGAAATTAGATATCACATATATGAGTATCAAGTAAATTTCAGCTTTATCTCATTGCACAAGCAAGTGGCTATTAGGACTCAGTAGCTAAGTGGATAATGAGATGGCGTTTGAAGTGAATGGCACTGAGTTCGAGTCCCAGAGTGAACATCAACTACGAGATGCAGGTACATCATTCAGCTGACCAGTCCAAAATAGGATGAAACGCGCATCAAATTGGATTCCACTGCTGGCCACTATTCATCTTATAATGCTTATGAATTAAGGCAATACTGAGGCAATACGCACAGTATGAATATATACAATAAGATACTGA